AACTATTCTAATCTTTAATCGATGCTTTTTCTAGCCAAAAGCCTTAAACTCTTATTAATAAATCAATCAATTAATTCTAAGATTTCGACCCATCCACCTGGTCGAGCTAACCGTATCATTTCTGGGACAACTTGCTCTTCCCATTGTACTTGCGTAAAAGCACCAACCATAAATTTTTCATGAACGAGATCGAAAGACGAGTCTTCGTATGGTAATATATCCAACACATTATACTGAAGAAATTCCACATTTGGAGGAAGATTTTCTGTTGGCAGAACTGGAGATATGTCTACTCCTACAAACTTTGAATCGGGATATCGTTTTGCCATATCCTTTTTTACGCGTTAATATATTAATATAAAGTAATCGCTATATTATAAAGAGGATAAGATTTTTACCAAAATCCAAATTCCAGATCCGCATCTTTTTAAGATACAATGCGTATAGTTAAAATTCTGTTTTTATAAGAAAACGTAACTCAAATACATACCCAATATCAATAACCCGAGCTCCTTGTCTCAACATTTCTTCAACAGATGAGTTAAACAATCCTCCCCAAATTTCTTTTACAACTAAAATTTAATATTTAACATTTAATAATATTCTAGAAGTGAAGATCGATTTAAGGAGAGTTTTATTACCTTCATGATATCTACTTAAACGATAAGCTTCTTGTTCATCATTGGCAACAAAGTACACGGATTCCGAAATTTCATGATATCGTCTACCATCGATAAAGCGGAACTTTATTCTTCCAGCTTCCTCTTCAAAATAACGTTTAGAGCAACAGCATCCCATTTTATAAACTAGATTCCAAAAAAAAAATCAACCTGAATAGGTATATATGTATAATGACGGTAGTATTACGTCACACTGAATGTAAAACGTGAGGTTAATGTTACTGTCACAAGTGTAACATTTTTCTCCTATCTCACAACTTCTTTGTTTTTAATGTAAATTAGCGCAATAAATAATTCTGAAAAAAATATTTAAAGAGTAGTTGCAAAGAACAAAATGGGATGTGCTAAGGCTTCTAATTATATTATATTATATTAGATTATACTAGGAAATGGTGAACCATTGTGAGTCCGGAACGATAAATTTTTTAATTGGTTTATTTATTTATAACCGGTCACGTGGTGTGACTATGATGGGAGCCGCAAGTCGCAACTAGTTGAGGAGCCATCTTTAGGCGTGACAACCGGAAACCCCATGTGAAAATCAATTTTTCACATATTACAGAATAAATTATAGTCCTTCGCTTACGCTCCGGACAATAATTACTTTATTTACATACAAACTGCTCTTGTATTAAATTAATTTATCCTGCCGGCTATAGAATTCACTAGTCTGATTGATGGTCAGAAACCTTAATCCAGAAAAGACATATATACTGTATATATGACTAATTTAAGAATATAAATTTTGTGTAAAACATTCATACATCTAACAATATAAATTTGTATTAGAAGCTACGTGATAAAGTTCCAACCTATAATCTTTTCCAATCTGTTTATTATAGGTTTTAACCATAACATTTTGATATCCCCTCTAAAGCATTTAAAGTCAATTGTTTCTATGCAGATCAAATAATAATGACATATTATATATATATATATATCAAAAGCACTTGCTCAACTTATCAACCCAACAACCGAAGAAAATTCTTATTCTAATCATACTTTTGACAAACTTACATCATTATACATTGAATATATCAATGTTATCAAAATGAATTTATAATATTTCTTATTTTTAATTATAATATAACACAACATACTAAAACATGACAACAGATCTATTAATATGTTTTAGTCCGTATATTGATATCATTTGTACATCTAAACAAATTTTTTGATTTGTAAAGATATCAATTTACTATTTTAACGAAAGTTTCATGATTTATTTGACTTGTATAAATAACAAATGCAAACATCTCTCTTAACAATAGCGAGTCTAATATTTATAGTAAATTTTTTATCTTTGCTACTTCTCTCTTATATTGAACTTTGTTGTAGCTTTCTTCATTATTGTCGTTACTTAATATGACATTAATTTATCCAAGTTATAACAGTTTCTTCATATATTATCTGAGCTAAAATATTTTTCTTTCATAATATCTTCAATATTGATAAATGTACATATATTTACACTCAAAAATAGAAATAAATTCCATATACATGTATGATATTATGTTTTACGAATCGCATAGCAGCATGCATTAACAATATTAAATCCACAGTACATCTATATCAGTATCAACCAAATATACATGTGGGTCGAAACGGGTTGAATAGAAAGGATAAAAGAGCTACCGAATGGTCAAAAATGTGCCAAACGGTCACAACACTGTATCAAATGGTCCAAGAATAATTTTTAAGTGCGAAGGTGATCTTAATTATTCGATGTTAATTATTAACAGAATTAAGGTTCTACATGTTAAATACATGTACATTATAAAAAAGATGTTCCAATACTAATTTGGGCTATTGTTTATATTAAAGTGCATGTACAGTACATGTATTTTTGTTTTGATAGATCCAGCAAGTATCACAAGATACATGTACTGTTATCTAACTGTTATCATACCGATACTGTAATTCCTTAAATTATGTCACGATCCACCGGCTGCATACTTCTCGACCAATATTCTGACGCCAATCTTCCCGACACCCAACTTTCCGAAAATTTAACTTCCCGACAATTTAACTTTCCCGACAGCCTAACATTCCGACAACCTAAACATTCCCACATACCCATCTTCCCGCCAAACCCAATTTCCAGACATAAACCCAGAAATTGACTTAAATTTGAGGTTGTCGAGATGTTGGATTGTCGGTAAGATGGGTGTCGGGATGTTGGGCGGCACATCTTTCTTCACACAACAGGATTACGTAACCTGACACATTTTCAGCAGTTTTCAGCACAATGGGATCAACCTTTTTTCCAATGTAACTCCTCAACCATTTTTCAGCACAATGAGTTACCAGTCCGATCAGCCGCGTAATTCTTCGGTATTCTTCTCCACGTTTCTTTCAGCACATTTTTCAGCATAATCATCTGCACAATCGTTCACGTTTTCAACACAATTGTTCGCGATGTTCAATCCTCTCTTTAGTCGTACTTTATTATTTTACAGTTGTTGCATCTTCTCAATGTAATAGGAATCATAACGATAAATAGAATTAAGTAGCATTTCTTTTAGAAAATAGAAAAGGATAGCGAAAAAGTATATAAGGAATGGCTTTTAAGCTTTTAATAATGGCAGAAATAAACTTGCGTACAATCTTTCCAATTATTAAAACACTTGTTAAAACCCTTCGTAAAGGCATAGTAATTATAATGATTATAGATTGGTTGAGTTCTTTGTGCCAGAAAAGACAAACGTATTGGTTAAGTTCTTTGTGCCAGAAAAGACAAACGTATTGGTTAAGTCCTTTGATCCAGAAACGTCTAAGGCATCAGTGAATTAATTGATTGATTTATTAATAAGAGTTTAAGGCTTTTGGCTAGAAAAAGCATCGATTAAAGATTAGAATAGTT